GTGGAAATTAAGTGTATTACAAAGTTGAATTGAGAAAGAATAAAACTAGTTTTATTTAAGAAAGGACTTGTATCACTAAAGAAATTATACGGGAAATTGAAAAACGAACGACCAGAGGCATAACAACAGTTTTATTTTTCTAACAGGTTGGTTGGGCCCTGGAGTGGGTTGCCTTCATATGTTGTGGAGGCCATAAATTTAAGTGAGCTTAAGAAAAAGCTTGATAAATATATGAATGATAATGGCTGGCTGTAAGATTTTTTAAATAGTTTTAGTTTAGTTTAAAGGACAAGACAACCAAGATGGATCAATAGGTCCCTTGTTGTCCCTAAACATTATGTTACCTTATATGATACAGTTTTTTCAAGAGGTTGTTAAAAAAGTAAACTGCTGAATAACTTTATTTTTGACTATTGCAACACTCATTCTAAAGAACGGACCAAATAATTGGGTGAAATCACTCACTTGAAATGAAATATACATAGAAACTTCAGCAGTAACTACTGGGATTAAATGCAATAATGATGGTATTATTTGAAATGTTTGTTTTGTGACTTGTATGTTATTAAAACTCTTGTAACCAACAAAGTCATCAACCCACAAGTAGTACGATGTATAAATAGTTAAGAAAATGAGTTTAAGAATGGGCTCCATGTGGACTCCCATCAGTAATTCTAGGATTAATTGTGCTGAAGTTTTTATGAAAACTTTACATTCTTTTTCTGTAGAAGAATTTTTTCTCAAAAATGCTACAGTCTATCAAGCTAGCTTGTAAATATTGTAGAGAGTTAACTAGTGGTCATTTAACTATAACTGTTAACAAGTTATTACATAGACTTTAACAATAATTGCTCGTTATATGAGCAAGAAAACTGTAGTACAAATATACATATATATATGAAATAAAATATAAATTTATTGCTCTCCTAAAAATAAATAAGGCCAATCTGTCATTGAATTGAATGATAGGTTGGGCTTCATGCTTATTTTTAGTATCTTACACAGCTTGTTTGCTGAATAATTCAGAATAATTTATTAGTAGCATCAATGCTATACATCAAATCCTATTTAAATATAGGTTCACTGTAATAAGTAAAAGACAATTAAAAACACCATGTATGTATTTACAATACTAGTTATTAACAAAATTAGAAAATTGAAGATGCTTATCAGAAACATGTAAGAAAGATAAAATATAGTATAAAGAATAACTGAATTAAGCAATAGTATTTCAAACAAATTTGACAGTGACCTTTGAAACAGGAAATAAGGCTGAAGAAGAAAATGAAAAGTGTAGTTAAAGTTATTGTTCTTTCATTTATCTGTGCTCTTTGCCCTCTTTATCGGATATACATTTTTTGGTTTAATTCTATAACTAGTTTTTATAATTGTGATTGTTTTTTGTATAAGGATTATTGTGATTGTTTTTTTGTAAAAGGATTTGTGTTGTAATACACAACTTTTATATTCACTGGATTATGAATTCAAGAACTTTTGTAGGTTAGAAAATGTCTTAATTAAAATGCTGTTTATATTGATCTCTTGATGTTCGTCAGTTCTAAAATGTCTCACTGAAAGTTAGCTTTGCGTATATATTATGACAGGTTTCTTAAATTGGGCTTATGACAAATCTAGTGGTCATCCGACATTTGAAAAGTTACTTTGTATTCTCAAGTAATTATTCCTCTAAAAGTTGATTGTATTGTTGTAAGCCATATTTTCAGTGGTTTAAGTTAGATGTTATCTTGATGGTGCATGATGTTAAGGTCAAGAAACTTTAGTGATATATAGACATGACTACATAAGTTATAAACATGAGTAAGCAGTTAGTTTAATGATTGAGAATTGAGTGAAGTATTTAGTGTGTGAATGATCAAGTAGTTGATGATCGAGAGAAGATTGAGTAAAGTTATTCAGTTAAGAGCTAGTGTTTTTATAAGCTAATTAGTAAATTAATCAGCATTTGTTATCATTTAAGGAAATTTCTGTTAAATGTGTAAGGCCTGCAGCAGTTTCAGAGTACATTGAAAAGTTTGTTTGTGAACAAACAACTTGACTTACAACTTGTGTCAAAGTAAACCCAGCCTGTAGCAAACATTATAGAAGAAATGAATTATTTTATTGTTCAATGGACTGTACTTTACATTATTTTTACCAAATAATCCCAAAAAGAATATGTCCAACAATAGAACATGTTAAAAACACTATTAATAAATGTGTAAAAAGTGTAGAGTATGGTTACCCCAGTGATCAAAGTAACACAAACTAATTTTATGCTTATTTGTTGTAAAATCTCAACAAGATACATAGGCTTTGGGATTAGTTATTTAAGGTAAAACTGATTTGGAAGGTAAATATTTAAGGTAACATTGAGGTCAAAATTTTTCTCTTCATTGCCCCACACTTGAATAAAGAGTAAGTTTCAAACTATAGTATAGGCATTGCTGATCAAAGTTTTTGGTTGTTTATTGCCATATGACTAGTCTTGAAATCTTGTTTTGAATAAATATCAAGGTAAAGGTTATCCAAAAGATCAGTATTCATCATTGGTTCCCTGCTACTATATTTGCTTCTAGTTTTATATTGAGAAATGAGATGGGGGGGGGGGGGGAAAAAAAGGATTAATTTTGGAATTTAAAAAGAAAA